AAAAAAACTACTACCTCAATCAAACAAAAACAGTCTCGAAAAGTGATAACCCAGTGAGAAATTGTATATCGTAGATGCTCGTGGAGAAATCTTAGCAAAATTCCCAATTCTAACGGAATGAGTGAAGTGAAGTTCATTACGAACTCAAAATTGTGAAAGGAAGTTTGAACGAGCTGCGAGGAGGTTAGAAGTAAGAACAACTTACTAACTCATGAAAAATAATGTGTCATGATGGTAAGGCTAAGTATTTGTTGAAATTCTATTTGAAAGCAGGAATTTAAGACTATTAGCTTAATGTTTCTGCTTTAACCCGGCCTATGAACTGAAATCGCAAGCGCCCGTCGTCCTGGGATCACACCATTTCTGAACTACTTTACAGGAATAATAATCAAAGTTTTAAACGAAGTTTGTTGGTTGCTTTCATTCCGCTAACTATTGGCACTCTAATAAAACTGGAAGATGTTCAACAAACACATAGTGAGTACAGTATCAAGCAAAAATATCTGAGAAAATAAAATAATCTCACGAAAAACTGTACCTTGGACTCGTAAAAAAGGTGAAACGAAAAATTGAGGAAGAGAAGCCGTTTGACTCAAATAGATGGATTAATTGTTGGCTGCTTTTTGGACAAAAATGACGAATAATTAAGTAACACTTTTAAAAAGTCTTGCCCACAGAAAATTCCAACGTCGGATGCGTCGCGTTCTGATTAGAGCGCACAAATTGACGACTTGCGTAGTGAGAAACTGGTTTCTCGCCTCACGACCTCACATAAATCACCTTACTCTTCCTCATTTCTAAAGACCCCATTCCCTTCTCCCGGGTGACGAGAGGACTAAATTAATGACGTCTTGTAAAAAAGTGGAGCACAGATGTTGATATCTTACTTGTACTTAAAAGAGCAGACAAAAATTTGCATAATTTCCGTCATTTGTTGAGAACAATGAGCCCGAAGTCAATGCAAGCAGAATAAAGAGATGTTGTATAATCTGTTCTATTGTTTCCAAGGTTCTATTCTACAGTATTTTTGAAATAGTATTGATCGAAGTATACCATAAAATGTAAGCGCGAATGGATCGTAGCTTGAGGTTTTGTCAATCCTCTCAGACCGATAGGATTGAGGTTGCATGCTCGTTTTGGGTAGGTTTTTGTCATATGCAATGACTTCATTCTGGTGGTTTTCGGGTCAGCGCTTCAATTAGCTTTGAATGGTGAACACTAGTTCGTCAACCTCAAAGGGAAAGGGCCAAATGAATCTAATCTATAGGGCTGCGCTACCCATAGTCGAATCAGAAAAATTTTTTTTCTCCTATGAAAAGTCAATCATTGAGTGAAGGGTTAAAGATTCATCGGAAAGAAGCCTCGTGCTCAAATCCTTCAGCACCGGCTGCAAATTGGTCATGTTCTGAGTGGAAATGGGATAAGTGGGAGGAAAAATCCGAGGGCTAAACTAACACCATCTCCGGTTCGTTGACAACATCGCACTCATGGCTCTGGAGACCAAGAACTATTGGCAACACTCATTGCTGTCGTTCCGTCGGTCATTATTGTAGTCTATTTGCCTGGCCGTCCGCAAGGCTTTTCAATCTGCCACATATAAGGCGTTAAGTGTGTCTGTTGGTTTGTCTGTGTTTGTATGTACGTATGTATGCGCGTGTGTGCTGTGTGTGATGTGTCCATCTATGCGTGTGTTTGACAGGCTAGTCGCAACTACTGTACTCATAGACCTAAAGTTCAAATTCGATAGAGATACAGGCGGTAAGATGGGACCACTGACGGCAAGTGATCGAACTCCACTTCGCTTAGGGGGAGGGGACTTGCGCGAAGCTAGTATTTGGCTGGGAAGTCAGATCTGCTGTTCTTCTTACCAGATCATCCGAATTCGGAGACGATACTGGAGTTAGGTCAAGGTTAACACGAAAAGAAGGAGAGCACAGTGTTAGCAGGGCGATCCGGCTTGTGATTATAGTATAGCTAGAGCTATAGAAACCTACCAAGAACTGCGATATTTCACTAGCAGCTGGGAATAAGCTCAAAATTGGGTTGATGGGATATCACCGATAGTGCTTACCAGGGAAGGATCCCAAGTCGAAGTGGCCATTTGAAATGAGACCTACACTACTAGACGTGTTTTTGGATGGTGAGTTCAAATCTGCTTTCCAAATTTGCCGAGCGTTTCTCTGAACGGAGTTATGAGGGTGGTTTCAGGGAGCTTAACATGAGAAAACTTAAATTACATGGATGTTCCTCAGCTCTCGACGGCGGCTTGGTGTAGTGGTAAGCGTGACGCTTCAAGTGCGGGAGGCTAGGGATGGGACTTTTTGGGGAACGGAATTTTTGCATTAAATAGAATTTTTCTCTTAAGGACTAGAAAATACTCTTATGGTGAGATTATCACGTTTTATGACTTTTAATGCCTTTGTTGTTACCTCCTCCTACCTACACACCCGTTACCAAGTGGGAGATTCCTCCCGCACAAAATTTGGAGGTCCGGGAGGGAAAATGCAAATGATGAGCAATGAGAATGCTAGAGTTTGTGTTGATGTTAGATTGGGTGCGATGGTGCATAACAGCTCCGGACTCTCCAACACCGGCGCTGGTGGTAGTGGACTCGAAGACCAGAAAGCTATTCAGTGCGGCTTACCTCCAAAAAAGCAGATTGAGGAAATGACACTCTGCTCGAGGTTACCACAAGGCTAATACAGCCGATAGAAGCTTATTTCATATTCCCTTTTCAAAATATGGTTAAACGCCCCGCCTCATATGAAACAGCTCATAATCTCAACTTTTGCGTATACACACGAGACCCCATTCCTCGCTCACTTTCGCTTGTCCACTTTCAGTTCTGTCCGGCTAGATTTAGCAAATTTCTCATATATTCATGGTATGCCGCCGGCTACTTGAACACTCACCCGGGTGATTTGAGGAGCCTGCACAATTTTGTTTTCCTTCTGATTTGGGGTTAGTAAGTGTAAAGCAATGAACTGTGACGAATTCTTTTTCATCCGTTGCTCCAATTGTGAGAAGCTTCTCTGTTGCAAGCATTGCTTACTAGAGTATCACATTTGTTCATTCAAGTGATAAAATTTATCCTACTGTGAGTATAGAGTGCATGCGAGAAAAACTGAAGTATTACTTTATGTGGGTAAATATCAGTAAAAGCATTAAGAGGTCATAAAACGTGATAATCTCACCACGAGAGTAATT